CAACTCAATTCATCCAGTAATGAATTGTTTACAGAGTTCTGGGAGACTTTATTTAACTGTAAGTTCAAACAGTCAAATTCAGCAGAGAATCAGAGAGAATGTACTGGGCATGAAGATCTGACTGGAGTGCAAAACAGCTTCACTGATATGTCACTCATGCCTACATTTAACAATCTCTATAAAGGAGTGTATGCTGTGGCACATGCACTTCATATTATTCTTGGTTGTAATGAAACATGTAACAATAAGGTGCAACCAGATCCACTCACGGTGAGTTCAACATTAAATCAATTGTAGTTAGGCCATTAAGCTGCAATTTTTTTAAAAGCTGAAATTATTGAATAAGTTATAATACGTCTATCCATGATGCTTTTGAGCCAAGAATGTTTGCCATAATTAACAAAATTTATACCTATTTTCACAGATTTTACATCACATAAAAAAGATTCATTTCAACACCAAGGAAGGAGATTAGGTTTACTTTAATGAGAATGGAGAACTACCAGCAAAGTATGAAATTATAAATTGGCAGCCAACAGAAAATGGCATTGTGGACTTTGTCGCCACTGGTCTTTATGATGCATCTTTACCAGCAGACAAACAGTTGAGTCTGCAACTTGAGTCTTTTTTTTGGGCACAGAACTCAAAACAGGTAAGTTACACAGTGATCACTATACATTTTAAACACAATAATCAATCTAAATGCATTAATGTTATTGTATCATAATATTTATTTTCAGAGCATCAGAATTATCAACAAATATTTGCAAAGACAAAAACCTTTCCAAAGTCAGTGCCCGTACATTGTTCTCTAAGTAATTTTGTCCATCCAGGTGCCTGTGTCAGTTTGCAGTGAGAAATGTTCCCCAGGAACTCGAAAGGTTCTGCAGAAAGGAAAACCTGTCTGCTGCTATGACTGTATCAGATGTGCAGAGGGAGAAATAAGCAACATTACAGGTCTAGTAAAATTCAAGGTTTTGCACTTCAGTGTGCCACAAAACAAAATCTTAAAGCAGTCATGTTTACATGCCACTTACAGTATAATAAATTTAAGCATGCATCCATGAAATGGTTAAAGCCCATAGTATGTACTTCTAGTTTGCTTAAAATATTTCAGTGGTACTTTTTACAAAATCCGTGGAAATTTGGGGCAGTCTGTGTTGTATGAGTATAATGTCAAAAATTAGTACATAAAAGTACTTTCTTAAATCAAAATTATAGACATGATTAGAATTCTAATGTAAAAAGCTATGAAACTATCCAAATAATTAAATAAGTATGCCATCAACCTGTTACAAGGTTATCCATTTATTACTATGGAATCATGTAGTGTCTGTCTTGTTTGCATAGAAAGGATGAAAACTAGAAAAAAAAA